CCCCAAAACCCCAAAACCCCATAAGATTAGATATATTACAATTTAGAAAATATAAATATAATATTTAAACTTAGTATTCATTGAGAGACAGCTGCTTGATTTTTAGAACTGCTACCGCCATAGCTCTTGTTGACTAGACCATCTTTCCTGATTTGAGATCTTAGGATGTCTGGGATAGTTACACTATTAAGTGCCTGTTTTTTATTCTCCAAGCCATCTTTTAAGAACTAAGCGATGTCCTCTGTCAATGATTTTTATGTTATTTTTTGCTGTTTCTTTTTTCCACTTGTCTAATTAGCTGCACCTGATGTTTTAGTAAGTATCTCTTTGACATAGTCTACGAATTCCTCTTTCAATTAGCACTCATCAATCTCATTTTATTGTTAAATTTGATTATATTTCTAAGAAAGTTTAGTTCCATTAGGCTGCTTTATGTCTTGTAAAAACGATGATCCGTTTTATTCCAATTTTACATCAGTCGACATTGATCTCTACAAATAATTAGTTTCATTATTATTTACATTTGAGAGTATTTCCTCTCTCTTTTTTCTAATGAAGTTAGGCAGGTTCCTTTACTTCATTTGATAAATCTTAATCTCTCTCATGATTTCATTTTTAGTTTTCGTTGAATCTGGATCCATCATAATTGACCCTAAATATATGAATATAAAAATTAGCTTACAGTTGAACTTATCATGAAACTTCTTTTCTATTTTGTCTTTGTAGCCAAATGTTTCTTCGTATATACATTGCTTTAAGAATTCTCTTTCCTTTAGATCTAAGCTAGTAGCAAGCTGTTTCTTAGGTTTGCCCACAGTCAGCTAATGATTTTAATGTATTTTGATGACGTGAGCAATTTGACTTTAACCTGTTGCATTTGGAGAAGTGCCTGGAAAGTTATGAGATTAAGACGATTTCTAATTCCTCAGTTAGGGTAACTCTCCACTATTGCTATCTTAGTTATAAGTATTCAGGTTATTATCATGGCGCTTCTTAGTCAGTGTGCCATCTGTAAAACTATTATTCTTATTCTTGTATATCTATGAATTATCACCGTAAAGCTCTTCATCAGCCTCTTCATAAATCTGCTTTGTTTTTTCCTAGAAAATCTGGTACTTCTTATCAATCTCTCCACCGTTTAATAGACTGTTGGGTTTAGTGATCATTGGAGGCATCTTTGATATGAGTTCCTAAATTTCCTTCTCTTAGGAATAAACAGTGGAAGGTACTCCATAAAGACTTCCTCTCTCCTTAAGCTTTTCTTTCAGCTTCTCATTCTCGTAGAGTTTATTAAGCTTTCTATAGTCACTAAAAGTTTACTTAAAAACTTGAGTGTATGCTTAAGTTTCCTTCGCTAGTCCTAAATTGATCTCTTTTTATGGTTATGATAATACTGCGGCTACTGATAGTATATTTACTGGGGAAGAATGATTTGAGTTCTTATTACTTCTTCTGGTATTGCTATGCACAAATGCACTACATGCAGACTCCTTTTACTCCAAAATTAGAGATTTCAAGGGATCTATTCCATTTTCTTATGCTTTTTTCTGCTGAAGTTTTCTTTACAATAGAAATTCTTATTTTTATGCTGGAGTCATTTCCATTATGCTAAGAGCTTTTAGATTAGTCTCTCCATTTTCATTGGTGCTTTAAATTTTCTTGACAAACTAATCATGCTCGTATCTTCTGGTCTGCTCTCTAAGGTCTAGCATATATTTCTCTCCGATGTCCTTGTAATTAGACTTATCAAAATTAAAAGCTTAAGAAAAGCTATCTGCATCCTATATGTTTATTTATAAAGAAAGTAATGTTTTATACCTTATGAGGTGACCCATTAACTGAATCGCCAAATGTGACCTTAGTCGAGTTCTAACCTTTTCTAGGTGACCCGAGTAAACTTTTATTCATCATAGTTCCGCTATGTTAGAAACCCTTTTACTTAGCCATTTAAAGTCTGTTTTAAAACTACTCATCAAGTAACATTAAGCCAGAGTAATAGTTGTTAATCCATTCATCAGTATCATCAAGAGCAATACCACCAGTTTCCAAATCGCTTTCTCCCTAGGCTGGGCTTTATACCTGAGTCTTCGCTGTTTTTATTGGCTACTTTTCTAGTTATCGTTTGAGCAAAGTGAAACTGTCTCTTCTCGACATCGGTATGACTTTCTTAGGTGAGACGATTTATCGCACATCATCTGGTAAGGCATGTCTGTTTAGCTTGTTTTCATTCTCGCTTGGCTTTTGATTTTTACTGATGCTAGTTAGCTTACGCTCTATATTAGCATATTGTTTCTATATCATAGTATCTTACTTTCTTTCTCTTTTTAAAGTAGCTATTCAGTGTACTTAAACCTAACATCCAGTCCATATAAGTTAACTTTAGTCGGTGATAGTATTTCTTTTCTTTGTTCCTATTATATAAAATTTAAACTAGCATTAATTACAAATGGAAAAGGCCTACAGAAGAAGTTCTATCTCGAAAAAGAGGTAAGACTAATTGCTTCAGAGAGGTAAAACGAGCAAGAAACAACAGCCTCAAACTAGTTTGATTAATTTAAATCCAACAGCTGCTGATAAATTCAAAGTATTCGAAGAAAATAATAATATGATTCTTAAAATGGTAGGAGTCAATGAAGATAGCTTAAATTTTGCATCTGATTAGTTTGAAGCAGAGTCAAATGTCATAAAAGAAAATATTGAGAACATAAATCCAAATAAGAAGTTTGAAGAGATTAGCATATCTGGTTATCCTAAGAGTGTACCAGTTACATCATATCGATCTTTACCAAGTGATAACTCATCAATTCAATATTCAAGCAATGGAGATCCATCAAGTAATGACTGCTTGCAAAATAAATCTGAAATGACTGAAACTTAATCCTCTTAAAGTTGTGCGAATCTAAACTAAGCTATGCAGAATGAATCTGAAAATTAGTATCAGCAGTTAAATTTGCTGAAACTAATAGATGACTACAAATTAGATGCCAAAAAATCAGTTGAAATGATTGAATAGAACCAAAAGATCTGGTTTGTAAATCCCTCAAATATTGAGAAGGAGATTAACATGGTTAAGAAGCATCTTACTGATTTGATAAAGCAAAAATAAGGCATCTTAAAAACTCAAAACGAATTAAAGAGTATTCATACAGCTGCTATTGAGAAATAAAAGACATAGCTTGATGAGGAATACATCAGACTTAGACTCTAGACTACAAATCTGCAATAGTAAATTGATGAAATAAGAGAGACAAGAAATCAAAAATAGCAGTACTACTCATAATTAGGCACAGAAAATGAATAACTTCAACATTGAATTGAAGATTATAAGTTCTAAAGCATGGAAATAAATCTTAAAGTCACTTAGGCAGAGAAAAAGAAGCAAGAGATGATGGAATTGAAATAGTCAAAAATAGCTTAGCTTCAACATATGAAGAAGAGGCTATAGTTAATTTAGGATAGAAAGGTAAATTTTTACCCCTATTATGAGAAACAGCTCTTGAATCAATACCTTGAGCTTAAAGGAAATATCAGAGTTTTTGCAAGAGTGAGACCAATACTCCCTTAAGATTTTAAAGCTTATGGGGGTACTGAGGAATCCTTCTAGCAGCTTACTTAGTCTATAAAGATTCTAAATAAGACTTAGATAGCCATTCTTGATGAAAAGAAAGAATCTTTGTTTAACTTTGACAATGCTTTTGGCAATTCTATTAATCAAAATTAAATATATTAGGAGGTTTAACCATTAATAAGAAGTTTTCTTGACGGTTATGATGTAGTTATCATAGCATATGGGCAAACTGGCAGTGGAAAAACATATACTATGGGTACAGAAGCTTCTAAACAAACCTCCGATGCTAACTTAGGCATAATACCAAGAGCTATAAAGGATATCTTGAGGGAGTATAGTGATTTACCAGAGAATGAGAGACCAGAAATAAGATTATCCTTCCAAGAAATTTATAATGAAGTGGTTAGAGACTTAATGAATAAGAATAATACTTTAGTCTAGATTAATCAGGGTTGCAGATATGAACCTGATTCAATTATAGCTAAAGATGAGGGTCATATACATCAACTTCTCAAGCTTGCTGAAAATAACTGAGTAGTTGCTGAGACAATGTGCAATGAGCGATCATCTAGAAGTCATTCAGTTTGTTAGATCAAAGTTAATAACAGCACTCTTAGTTTAATTGACCTAGCTGGTTCTGAGAGACTCAATTTTACAAAGGTCGAAGGAGATAAGCTGAAGGAAACTTAAGCTATAAATAAGAGTTTAAGCGCTCTGGCAGATGTTATTTCTGCTCTTAAGGAAAAGAAACATGTACCTTATCGAAATTCTAAGTTGACTTATATTCTAGCTAATTACCTTGGGAGTGAAAGCTCTAAGACTTTAATGATTGTTAATTTGAATCCTATATCTATTAATGAGTCATTATGTTCTTTGAGATTCGCCTCTAAAGTTAATTCTTGTACCACTACTACTACTTAGAATTGAAGTAATGAAATTGAGTGTTATTTATCTTGATTTCTTTAATTAGTTTAATAATATAATCCGAAAAGGGTTTAATATTAAGAGTAAATATCTAATGTTAACGATTAATTTAAGATTATTATTGCATGATTTTATAATCTTGGTAACAATCGTATAGATCAATTATCGATGAATTGCTCCGACTCAAAAAGTATTAATGTTTTTCTTCATATTCTTATCATATTCCTCAAGAGTTTTATCTTTTCTGAGAGTCATTCTATTATTGCCAGGTTTGTCATCATCTTCATCAGATTCTTATCTACTTGCGAAAGAAACATTACTATCATTAAGCATATCATCTGAGATTAAGTTGAATCTCTTGTATAGTAATTTAGAATATCCATAGAGCACAAATCCTATCAGGAATGATGGTAAACCATACTTTACTAGCAAAACGAGAAGAACGAATCTAGCAGATTTGATTAGGAAGATTGGAAGTATGTATAGAGGCACAATGAGAAGGATAGATATTGCTAGTCTGATCAATGTTTACTTCACACCCGTGGAATTAACTGTTCTGTGAGTACCCTTATATTCTTTTGAATCTATAACTAATCCAAGATATGATCCAAATGTATAGAATATGAAACCAATTTCCACGTATACTGCATCATGGAAAACTAACTCGTTAAGTTACTTTGAAACTGGGCATTTTACTGAGATCTGATAGAGCCATTAATATTCTGGTTAGAAACTAGAAACAGATGCCATGTAAGCAATAGTTGTGACAATAAAAGTCATCATGACCATAACAAGGGAACCAACGCAGACCTGTCTGTATCTATTAATAAATATACCATCCATAAGGTTTGTTAGATGTTTGTCGAGTCTTGGAAGTACATAAAAATGTGAAAAGCATCCAATCATCAAGCCTAGTTCTATTCCAAATAGTATTTCATCGATGGTATTATTTCCATTGTAAGAGCCTTGAATTGAGAATAGTATAATCATCATAATTGAGAAGATTATTGTTATTGCTAACGATACTTTTTATCTATCAGTCAAGTCATCCTGTTAGTCTTTTAATTTATTGATAACATAGAGTCCAACTACGATTACAAAGGCCACAGCCATCATTGATTCTCCACTGGGATTGCCAAAGGACAGTTCACACACGAATGGGAATATCTTGGATGTCTTCATGTATGGTCTACCAGCCCTCAGTACTAATTTCAAAAATGTTTCTACAAAGACACATTAGCTTATTACTAATGACAAGTAAAACGATGTCTATCTGGAAAAGAAGTTGAAAAATAACATGACTAGCACGTAGTAGCATCTAGCATCACCTAGGAAATAAATGAATTTAAAGAAGCCCACTGTAGATTTAGCATCATTTTCCTATAGTTACTTAATTGATTCTATTGAGGCTTTGGAGAATATTGATCTTTATATCAATTCAAGAAGTAGAACTACTATTACAAGAACAAAACAGGCAAAGAATTTTAGCAGAGCAGTTGTTAAACTATCAGATTTAGCGTCTGGCATCTTTTCAGATTTATAACTATTATTATTTTAATATAGTTTTAAAATATATCTTTATAATTTTAACTAATTAATTTTTATATATATTTTTAGTGGGGTTTTGGGGTTTTGGGGTTTTGGGG